AGTTAAGGAAGGTAATTCCTGATTCAGATCTTCTAAATTCACTACTAAACGGTCGATCGAAATAAATCAACAAGAGCAAGAATTGCCGTAAATCAATGTATGTATGTAATTTTTAAATCTGAATCGAGTATAATGGAATAATTCCTACAATATCACTTACTTAAAGCACCGTAGCTTAGTTCTGATCAACTGCTGATCCGGTTGGAAATCACTCGATCAAAATCTGTATCTAATCGCAAGATCAATAGATGAAATCGAATAAAATCAAGCCAAGAAACAAAAAAGATAGATTAATTCGGGGTTTATTATTCTTAAACCAAAAAGGAGATAACGAGTACTGACTGAAAGCTTGGTTGGTAAAAGACCCTTTAGAAAGACTTTTGGATCGAGAATGAAGGTAATAGTTTTGGTACGATCTTAAATGGATAGGAATATTTTGAAAACGAGGTTCAAATGGAGAATCCTATTTGTATGATTCAAAAAAAATAAAATAAACGGAATCGACAAAAAATTGAAAGGTAACTCTATTAGTTATCCTTCTAAATGATGATGATGATGTGAGAACTATGTACTTGATGTTCAGAACTAGAAATCAGAAACACTCGGTTGTTGATTCGAAACGGTCGATTAGAACGTAGCACTCGTTTCGATCGATAAGATGTCCTTTTGTTTCTCTGGTGGATCCGATTAGTTTTTGATCTAATCAACACTATCAATCAGAAGAAGTTAATTTACACAAGAAACCAATTAGTTTCTATTAAATCAATCTGAGTTGATATGTAAGTTCTTGATTCTTTTAATTTAAGTATACTCGTACTGATCGTGTTCTTCTTTCTCTGATTTTTTCTGCAGGTTACTTCGTTCCGGTTGCTGTTCCGGTGGCTTTGATTCAGTCGATCGAAAGGTCAGATGCGGGACAAATGGCCCTGTGTTTGTAGCGTGAAGCACACAACACGTGGGCCACTCAACGCCGACAACGACTTGAGGTGGAGGTGAGAGGGTATGTGGTGTCTGTTAGGATGGAAACTTCGAATTCCAAAATTCGAAGTTCAGAACTGATTATAGTACCGCTGTGGCTGTTGGACCACGCGCGGGGCTTGGCTGTAATTCTTTTGTGTACTTGTACACCGGTCATCTGATGAAATTTGTGTGTAGTTGTAATATAAGCCATGTGTTTGGCTAATTACACAACACAAATAAAAGAATTACAAGTATAATTCAGCAATGAATTATATGTAATAAAGTTGTATATGGATCAACTATTGATCCTTCTTCACAAAAAAATAAAAAAAATAAAAAAATGCAAAATTGAGGGGGGGAAAGAATTTCTTTCTTTCCTCCAAGGTATTATCCTTAAATCAAAAAATGCTGAGCTTTCCTCAGTTTTTGGATTTAAAGGTGGATAAATAAAATCAAATAATGAAATGAAATATATGTTTTTGTTATTTTTTACTTTTCTAAATGAGACTGAGCTATAACAAGCTCAAAAAAAATGAAAGAGGTTCTGAAAACCCGGATGAGGCCCCCAAATGTGAGCCTACTAGCGTCTGTTGGGCTAGTAGAGTCAATAAAAAGGAGATGGAAGTTTAAACGAACTTCTACTAGACTCGTGGGGATTACAATCCACGAGTTGGAGTATTTAAAGACGTGGGCGTAGAAGCTTTACTGGTGATAAACAAGTAAAGACTCCAGTTAGATGACCTTTTAACAAAGGATTTCACGCCCAGGGATTTTGGGTAATTGTTCTTATTTGCAACAATTAAAATAGAGCCACTGACGCGCAGTTCTCAAGCCTAAATTGAGTCACTTCTTGTACAAAGAATGATCAATAAAGGAGGTGTTAAAGTCTATCTTAACACCAGGAACTTTAAACTCTGACTAATAGAGGTTCCCCGTAGATTTAGAGTTTCTTATATCAGATGAATCCCTGATCTGATATAAGCCTTACTCAAGGACTACTTCCTTATACGTAATTCCACCAAATGGATATTACGAAACTAACTGATTATAGAGTCTAATCAGATAGAAACAAAGTTTTGATGCGCACACAATAAAGTCAACAAGACACAAGGTTGAAGATTCAAAGTTCGTAGAATCAGGCTTTTAAAGTTTGTAGATGTTAGACAAAGTTTAAAAGTTCTAGGAAGATGAAATGAGCAATTTGTAAAGTTGTTGAATGTTAATGTGATGATTCAAAACTGGTGGGATCTTCAGGGTTTATATAGTCTAAACCTTGAGAATCTTTGGACTACAAGTGCGCACAAATTGTGGTT